TCTTTCGGAACCAAAAACCCGGTCTTTTCGCTTGGTCGCGGCTAAGAGCGCCTACCGTTAAAAAGCAGCTGTATAAGCTACAGTAGGTCACGATAGGTTATAATGACTAGGAAGGATAGATAAATTTTGCGGAAGCCCCGAGAAGCAGAGAAATTAATGACGGCATATTATCTTGTCAAATCAGGTGAAATGGAAGGAGATTCATTCTAACAATATTGCCTTCAGGCTACAACGTGCAGGAATCGAAGATATCACCTGTGAAAACGCCACCACAATTTTCGCGAACCTCACAAGCACACAGATAGTTTGGTTGTGAAGCAAAACAAACCTGCTAACGAGAGCGAGTTAATCCCAAGTAGCCATTGATGGGGAGTGACGTACAGACGAAGTTTCGGAGTTGTGTGGTTCACGGCCTCCGCAAACACAGAGGTGATCTGTGGACCACTGCGTGTCTCACCACCAAACCAAGCACTCGTTTTCTGTCTGCTTCATGCGGATGATTGCTGTTGCATTTCCCGGAAACTAATCGCCCGTTAATTTGCTGTGCTGCAGTGCGTTAAAAAGGGAAGTTTGCTTGATATACTATCCACTTAACTGCTACTTTTACAGTATTAATACAACAGATTCTACATAGCCCAGAATTTTGTAGCCCCGATAAACCAGCATGCAGCCTAGCTTGAGATTTCGCTGGTTTGAACGCAGTTATAAGCCAAAGTGCTATAACATACACCAAATTCAGCCTTCACGGTCTTTCCGGTTTGTACGATGATTGTACAAAATCCCTTGGCGACCGGCATATAGATAAGAAATCTGTCCTGAGTGGTCTGTAAAAAAAGCCGAATTTGTGAACTTGACCACATTTATATAAAGTTACCGGACGAAATTCTGGAGATTAAATAAATAATCATCAAATTTAGATCAGCAAAACTGCAATTTCCCCAGAAAAAAGCAATTGCACAAGATCCTATCCATGCCAGTAAGCACGAGCCCAGTTTCAGTCTACGGGGTAAAATGCAGATTTTGAAATTATGATAGTAAAAAAGGCGTCTATTTTAACGATATATTAACACATTCCCCTGTGGAAAGACTTATCTGACACCGCATTCCGAATATGTACCACGCTAACTCGAAGCCTTGTATTACTGTCCTAACGGTGGATTGTGACGACACTAGATATAAGCAAAGTTCAAATGCGCCATGAAGTGAAAGCAAAAAAATTAGAACATCGAAACCCGCAGAGAATCGTGATTCTCATCAATGCCAAAGATATTTCGTAATTAGTCGCTGCTGATAAACACCCAAAGGCTTTTTTAAACAACGACCAGTTGTATGGTACCCTAAGTGTTAAACATACTTTGTCTTTCTGACTCGACTTTTCCTTTTCCCGACGACGCAAATCCGAAAGAAAAGCTTGGAAGAGGGACTCCCGCTCGCGAGACTTTTCTATACCTTTAAATCTTTCATCTCGACCATATTTTGAAGCGAAATCCGAGAATGAAGACCTGAAATATGACAGGGCTTCAAAGTAATATCTCGCATAAACGTCTCGCTTAGAACTATGTAGCGCAGCGGCTTCTAAAACGGAGCATTCAATGCTCTAAAAAAGTCTTACAGACTAATGCAGCAAAAAACCAAAGATCGACGCAACAGCAAACATAAAGCCACTAAATAAAAGTACTAACTTTGGGTTAAGATTGGCTCCTGTGAGAAGCTCATTAAACCCCTCCTTCTTTTCCCGCATTTTATTTTTCTTTTCACGTCGCTCTTCCTCTGCTCGCTCCCTTACATATGCCTCGAACGCCTGCTTTCTTTCTTCACAAGTGAGCAAGAGGTACCTCTGATCGAATACAATCTTATGCAATTCCTTGTCCCAGGTGGAGAAAGCCGATACCTGAAACGATAATGCATCAAAACATGAGGAAAAAAACAACTTTTCTGTGACCACAACACGCACCTGCTTATCAATTAACATCTGTCGAAATTGCTGAAGGCGGACTTCAAGCGGTAGGCTAGCTTGATCCTTTGCGGCCCGTTCAAATGCCTCCTTCGCCGTGTCTATCGTAGCCAGTTCACCAATGTGTTGCTTCGCTCCCTCGTCCACCACCATCATTTCAGTCCTCGAAGTTACGTCCTGAGCTTCCACTTGGCGCCTCGTCGTTGCCTCCTCTCTGTGCAAAACAAGGGTCATGAAGGACGAAGGCTTCGGAATCCAATGCTCTGCGTGAAATAACTTACAACCGTGCCTTTTTGATTGGAGGATCCTGTGGCGCTGGTGTCCCGGATCTCTCGTTGTCGACATCAATAGAATCCTTTTCCTCATTAGGCGGCTTCTCAAGCAAACGCTCAACATCCGCACGACCCTTCAGCTCCTCGGGCGTTTCCCAAACACTAATGCGTTTACTAGGATTGAAAAAGAAGACCCGACCATCGCCAGTCCAGACCACACACCATGGCGTTCCGGTAACAGCTGTACTGGATATAGGTCGGCTAGTATCCTTTTGCTCTGCTTCCTTTTCCTTTTCGGGTTCAAGCTGATGCTCCACAGTCGGCTGTCGAGATGAACTCTCAGGTTTCCTTTCAACGACCGATGATTGCTGACTCTGGGAAGGCTTAGAGTCCGTGGAGATGTCATTTGAACCGGAGTGGAGCTGCAAAATGGGAATACGCGTTCAGTAATCCAAACAGAAGCACGACCGAAAAATGCAACCTACAGTATTCAAGGAAAATCACCCGCAATCTCAGGCCAACAACATCTATAATACATACGTCTACAGATAAGTCACTTTTATTTAAATGCTATCCAGATAGAAAACATTTCCTCTTAAGGCATTTATCACAAGAACAGATCACTAGTATTAGTCTCCACTAGATCATATCAGCGGTTTTATATTTTGATGCAGGCTTCCAAACGCCTCAACTTCTTTTATTCAATGAGACTTTTTTTCCGCTACTTCCAAGCACAACGTCAAAATTAGCAAATACGCACCTTGTCTTGCGAGTTTGTGGACGGTGCCGGCGCAACCGATGTCTTCGACTGCGGGTCACCCATATCTTTGGATCCACCTGGACAAAAGACAAGGCAGAAAATGAGGTTCTCAAAGCTACATCCATATCTAAAAAACTGCAAACGAACGCCAAGGTGGACCGACAAAAACCGATCATCTTCAAAAATACGGACCCGCACCTTCCCAATCGATGAGAACCTGCGGCTTCTCCCATGTTGTTTGACCTGTTTGACTGTTGTGGAAGTAGGATTTGCCATCACCACTCTGGTACTCAGTCCATGCAGCAACATCAGGCGGCTTCACAGGTAGCGGATTCGCTTGGATTGGAATGCTCGAGGGTTGACTAACAGCAGGAGCTTGTGATGAAGGAACATTTCCTGGTTTTTCAACATCACCTTGCCTGATTATAGTAACACTGTCAGGACGATCCCATCGCGTTTCGCGGCTGTGCATATTGTAGTAGTAGACCTTGCCATCCGCAGCGACATTTTCAATCCATATTTCCTCCTTGGAATTGGAAGATGGAGCTGAGGCTCCCAAAGACTGTACTGGTGGCTGTCCAGGTAGGGGTGGTACACCAGGGAAGTTGCTCGGCGGCATCCCACGCTGTGAAGGTGGTGGCATGTTGTACATCCCCATGGGCCCAGCGTGCATCATAGGTGGAACTGCTGATGGTGGAAAAGCCATTGGCATGAAGGATCCCGGCGGCCCGCTCGGCAATGACGACACTCCCGGTTGATAAACGCCTTGTGAGGTGCCATAGGGCGGAATTGGGTATGGTGGCATGGAACTAGGTGGCATTTGCCCAGAATGAATGGTAGATGATACGTCGCCGTCAGACGGTCCAGATGGTAAAAGCGGTCCACCAGTTTGTGGCATACCGCTAGAAGAAGCATCAACTTCTTGCGCTGGCTGTGACATGTCGCCGCCTGCTGAAACACTAGACTGTGATGGCATTCCATACTGATGCGAAGGTGCACCAGTCGGTGGTGGCGCTCCCGATTGACCTAAATTACGCAAGTATAACTTAGTAACCATAAGAATAAAATACTCGGCAAAAGGTATCAGCAAAAAGTAGTAATACCATCATACGGTGGAACGCCTTGCCCATTGGGCGATCCCGGCGGATAAGTGCCTCCAGGGGGAGGAACACTTCTGGGGGGCGCCATATAGCCTGCTCTTGGCGGACCATAACCCGGTGGTCCCATTTCGGGCACATTCGGACCTCCGTTCATCATCGGTCTTGGGCACGGAGGACCACCCAGGAATGGTCCAGGTGGTGGCCCAAAGCCCCTTGGAGGTGGTGGAACACGAGGACGGATGCCCGGCGGCATTTGTTGAAAATCTTCCGGAAAACATTCCTGATCATAGTAGCCATCCATATTCTCACCACTAGGGTCACCTTCACTCATTCTAATCGGAAAACGCTGTGGAGGGTACCTAGGAGGCCCTCTATGTGAAATGTCAAAAGGTCGCGGTGGCCCATCAAAAGGCCTAGGTGGACCCCTGTACCCTGGCATTCCAGGGGGCCGCATACCAAGTGGGCCAACTCTACAGCATGACGTTATTTAAACCAAATTTGTACCTCATGCCCATGGGACGCGGCCCTCGTATCACCGGACCACGACAGCCCATCGGTGGCATGATGGGTGGCCTCATGCCAAGACGAAATGACTGGGGCATACCAGGCCGGTGAACGCTCTGAGCGGGACTATTGAACGGTGTAGTAAACTGACCAGCTCCTTACCTGAATATCGGCATTGACTGCTTCGACTGAGGACTCTGTGGCTCATCCTCCTCATTAACACGCTCAACAACCTCCCCGGGAACAACACCTTCATCGGACATCTTGACACAAACGAAACAAGCTGTTGGATCGACGCGTTCAAACAAAGAAGTGTCGTTTCAAATAAAAATCCCATTGCAAATCTGCCCCCTGCAACTAATTCTTATGGGTATCTTAGTATTAATATCATTTTTTTTTCAATTGATATCTTTTACGACCTTGCCTACGCAAGCAACGATCTCTTTCTCTCCTAAAAAAATCAAAAGCAAAATGCAAATTAACGTTCCAATAAATATACCATGTTTAATACCTGGAAGCTCAGAATTTTAATTTTAAGTTTGCAACCTTACCTTTTGTGGCATTATAACCATGCAGCCCAAATCAGCCCTATCCACGCGCGCAACTGTAGTGTAATACAATAGTGGTTTATCCCTTGGTTTTGGTGAGGCGCGACCTTTGTACTTTGAATTAGCCCCCTTGTACCCAGCTGGGTGGGCCGGCCTTTTGGGCCATGCCAATAGCCCGGACACCTTCTCCGCGCTGAATATATATTCTGCCCGAGTGTTTCGTCTTCAGGGAGTCTCGGGACGCTACAGTAGCGCCTCAAATCTCTTCTGAAGTTGTAATAAGCCAAAGCATTATAGAATGCTATACGACTAACACACGGAGAAGCTGGGGGTCATAAAATGCCTCAAGGGCATGCCGCAGAGTGGAAGTACGAGTCGTAAGAATTCGCATTGACCGCACAGTTAAACACCCGGTTGAGCCAAAACATCAAACCACCACATAACCCCAACTCCTAGATATTCTCCTGTACTGCCCATCGTAACGTAGTTGGTGCCATTGATACCACCTACAAACCACGAACACCAACCAACAGATTTCGTGCATTCGCGAATGCATTTGACCCCAAGGTCACCGAAGTATCCCGACAGTCTCATCGTAGTATGGTATTCGTCTTCCTTTGGAACTGCAATAGCAGATGGAGACTGTACTGCCTACACGGGGCTCAAGGGTGAATGATGGCGCACATCGTGGTTGCCCTTCACCAGCCTTGGGAAAATTGGCCTAAAAGCGGAGCCATTTAATTGAAGACGGTTTGCGGTAGCTTCACGGGACAGACATCTCGCAACTACTCCTCACAGCCACTTTGCCCCCATTTCAGTGCTGCCCAGCTGCCCATCTAGATCACAATCATCAAATAAGTACTTGGAAGTGTCGCTTGCTCAAGCAATTAACCTCGTCACATAGATCTACAACGAGCTCGTCCGTTGATTTAAGTGTTAATAATCTCCTTGCAGAACAAGAGATTGGGATAGTCGCCGAAGGTAGACGTCAGCTTTACCCATCCTGTTAGGAGTCTTTATAGGCTCAGCTATTCGCAGCAGGTACCCCTGTTCTATTCAGCTACTGAAATCAGGATATTCGTACATTTGGATCGGGTCTGTTTACCGTTAACACCAATGCTGTGCTTGACCCTTCCCTGCAGCAGTAACAAATCGTAATGCATCCTACCAGTGTACAGAAGTACTTGGAGGCCATTAGCATGGCTCGAAGGTCACACTGCAAAGTGTAATCATAACCTGGGGAGACTGAAGTGCCCGTGTAGTTAAATACAGTTAAGCAAAATACCATACCACCGCGTGCTAGCATTTGACATTTGCATTGCCCATCTTCTTCATCGGATTAAGTTTCTTAGTCCACATAGATTTAAACAATTTTTGGGACGATAATGTGTCGGTTCGGATCACCACTGCAGCCTAAAGGAATTGTAAAGTAGATTCACTTTCTAACATCTGGTATTTTACGCAGGAATTAATAACGTCTTTTCTCATATGTAAGTAACGAGAGCCATGCAACTAGCCTCTCACCCCTTCTGTACGCAAACAGAAGGTGGTCCTCCGAACCGTCACGACTCATTGCAACTTCAAGGAAGACGACGTTGACAGCAGCGACGGGCTAACCCCATCTGGAAGGACAAACTCCCCAATTTTCACATTTAGTTACTGAACTCTAACGTTACAGAAAGAAGGCAGCTGCAGCAGGCGGTTGATTCGGCCAAGACCCCCAGTAGAAGGATTACAATTCCGTCGGCATCTGACAAGTACTCTAATCCCCTGTTTTATAAGCTTACTAACGAGTGAAACTGGGTCACACTTGAATGGTTTGAAAAAAGTCAATTACAGAATCATATGCGGTATTTGCGAGAGGATGCTATTCACGTAAGCAAACGATTCATCCTCCACGTCTCTACTAACGAAACCTACAGAGACGGCTGAGCAAGGGGCAGAGGAATAGATACAGAATACCAATTTCGTGAAAGTACTTTAAAGCTTGTCTTTTACCGGACGGCTCTCTCATTGGCGCACACAGTGCACTCGTCGCGGAGTACTATCCGCATAGGCTAAATCTCCTCCGTACCAGACGATACTATAAATAGCAAAGATTACTTAGGAAAGAAAATAATCTCCAACGTAGCAATGAAAAAAATATAATTTTGTTCATTGTCCCGAGCTCAGCTTAGTGTCTACCGTCCCGACAAAATGATTAATCAAGTCTAGAAATGGTAATCTTTAATTTAGTACTCTTACAAACTCCGATCTACCAGAAGGCCGTACAAACAGGAATTCAAACTGACAGCCCTGGTATTCATACAGAACGGAAAGTTTGGAAATAGTGCAACACGGGATGTGAGTACGTCAATGCGTGTGAACATGTCGCCAAGATTCAAAAGGGTTTGCTTTGATCTTGAGGGCGAGCAGTGCAGTAGAGCCCAAGCATTAGTGAGGACCGTTAGCTTTACCGTTTGTGCCTTTAGTGAATGGGAAAACAGTGTATAAAAGCTAGCGTTCACGAATGCAGTACACGTCGAAGTCCTCCTTCACGACTCCTAGAACGCTTGAAAACTGAGGCGGTTTAAGCTAACCCAATTCGCAATGCACCAAGTATGATGAGGAAGTAACTTGGCCCTAAAATGGCTAAATCAGTTCATGCGGTAGAGCCAATGGATTCATTTGCACAAAAAAGACAGGCAAAAGCATTTGCGTTCGTAGTACAGGTCCCGGGCTCGACCGGTTGCCTAACAGTCCATTGCCCTTGCGCAACTTGCACTAAGGCGCACCACTGAGCTTGAGCTCGAACAGGGCATGTACACATCTGTTTGCAGCACCAACACAACCCAATAAACGTATATTACTAGGCCCAATTGATGGACGAGTCCCACTAAAGGTTGATTTCCTACAACCGAACCGGTGGGTTGTACGTTGATATATTTATTTCCAACAGTATCCACCACTTGATCCATGAAGCATTCAACAAAAATCTCTTCAGCAAACCCAGAGCCCAAGAAAAACATCCGAAGCAGTAGCAGTGTCTAACCCAAAGGTGCTTCGAAGAGAAATCATTCCAATGTAGTCCGGGAAACTAACATGCCAAGCCATAGTCACTGCTGTAATCAATGACGCAAAAGCCGACAATTGGACCAAGAATGTAATCCCATGTTGATATTGATATCAATTGCCAAAACTCCGGACCCTCCAGTTCCGAGTCCCTGACATTAGCAATAAGTAAGGTCTCAAAATCTACTTTTGTGACTGATAAACTCCCTTAGACAAATTATCATCTTGTACGCGACACCCAATCTCAAACAGCATTTGTACAATAATCGATGGTAGGACGAAATTTGGTCATGTCAAGGTAGATACCAATCCCCAACCACTTTTCGGGCCCCAAGTCTCGTGGACAGTTGATTTAATGTGAAAAACCGGCAGATTCATCGTAAGTGTCACCAATGACCAATCTAAAGTCAGTACGAATGTTTACGTGTCAGTGTAGCTGGTACTTTTCTTGAAGGCCTGCAGAAGATTCCTTTAATCGAAAAAAGCGAATAGATGGTTTCGTTCGCCAACTACAAACAATATTGTCCTGATCGTATGATAAAGCAAAGTTATTCGTCTTTGAAAGCTCATCGTTCAGAATTGATGTCAACCTTTAACCTTTTGTAGAACATGAGCGGCCCTACAGCCTGCTTGATAGTAAAAAAAATTGAAAGAATTCTCCAGACAGCCAACTTCGATCACGTTGACGACGTAGACCGGTCGATCGCGAATCAATAACCAGAGGGGGCGAGACACGTAAAGAGGGATAAAGGCGCTACACAAAGCGCCCGTGGCCACAGCATCGGGGTTCGTGCAAGGATGCACAAAGTGGTGGTTGCCACCGCCAAACTCCACGAGACATTAGGCAAGTCTGAGCTGATACAAGTTCAAAGGGTAGCCCAAACTCCTAAGTGAGCAGCCTAACCACGTGGCAAAGAACAATCTTGGACGAAATGAGACCAGCGATGCAGTAATAGATTTAACTTCATCTATCACTAGTGGTTACATTAGTTATTAACGAAATAACTTACTCAAACGGCGATTGCATATTATTTTCAATAAAACCAGTAGCACATCTTCCATTCAAATGATTTATTTATTGTACAATTCCACCCGAAAGTAAACCCATTGTTTAGACCATGATGCCATCTATGCAGGCTAAGTAATGGGACATTTCAACAGCAGCCTGGAGGTTTGTGTACCCAGGACGACCAACAATGTGGCCAAAGGCGAGCATGTTTTTTGGCAGTGTAGCCACGCCGAAAGAGGAAGCAGGAGGCGGCACAAGGGGTGAATTTTCTGAAATGAAGACAGTCTTAATGTTTGTAATATTTAATGCAGCATTAAACGGAAAAAATCGAGATATATGAACACAAAGGACTTGGTAGACTTAAGCTTTACAAGAACATTACACCGCTCAGTGAATGAAAAAAAGGCCGTGATTAAAGAACAAGCTTCCAATTCGTTGCAACCACAACACACCAGGATAATTGTAACTGAAGAAATAGCTATCAACAACGCCCCAAATTTGCGAATAGGTGGGTTTTTAACGGAGAAATAATAACCCAACATGGCAGCATTAGTAACTGTGAATGAAACAAACAGCATCATTTTCGAAGTAAAAGTACAACTAACAAATTGACTCAATACTAGTTAGTAAGAAGCGACTCAGACATCGACATGCGCTTCACGGCAAAAAACAAGGAATTAGCGTGATATTAGCTGGCGAGAAAAATAAGCAGGACAAGTGCTTCCATGCTGGCCAAAATCTTAAGGGGGTTTTGATATGGAGGTCAGACCAAACCAGGTTCGTGTTCATAATTAAGTGGATTGTCGGATGAACACGAACGGTCTTCCTTTCCATGTACATGAGATTTGCCCATGCTCATAGGAACATATTTTTTAAATCATAAACTTCACCGTCATCAAACACGTTTACGCTAGAATCATGCCACTACGTCTGTATAAGTACACTAGATCTGAAGGTTAAGATGACACATATACCCAAACTACCGAATGCAGACTTACCTATATGCCTGATAACGTATACTCTATTGGGACACAGAACCCAGTAGCAACCTCACCAGGCAAGAATAATGAAGGAACTAAACGGGGCGACCACAGACAGACCAGTCGCGCACCTCCTTCCACATCTAGGTGGCAAGCGCCCCATATTGAGGCCAAAGCCTACCGACAGCCAATAGAAATGTGGTAGTGCAGTGATTTAGTTGAACAAACAAATTACGCCTCATTGTAAATATCAGGGATTTTAAAGCATGGTCGTATTTAACTCTAACAGTATTAGGATAACACATAAAAAATTTACCAAGGATAAGCGTCTCATCCAAGCGGAAGACGGAGGCACCCTTACAAAAACTCTTCAACAATATTTCGGTTACCGCAACGGTATGTAACGCCTCCAGCGTCCCTCCCTCTTACTTCTACCTTCGTTCCTTCGGAACGAGCAGCTTGGTCAGAGGAAGACATCTCTTACCAAAACAAGCGTTAAAGTGTGCATGGAATCGGGGCTGCATGAAACCGATGTTCATTTGCTCCTAAAGGGCCAGTGGCGGCCTCCGGTCACAAGTTTTGCACGTCCCGACGGCCTCTCACATAGAATGTACCTTCAAACAAGTAGGCATTACAAATATACACGCTTCCAATCAATTATACATGTATACATTGGTGTTGATGACTACTACACTTTGCTGTCATTGTGTTCTTTAAACTTCTAAGATTTGGGGGCTTGAATTTCGATGTTTTAGTGGTTTAGAATGGTGAGTTCTGAAGACTTTTCGGATAGTTTTTAAATAAACGTTTATGAATGGCTGTTTTTAATGATTCTGGTAATAAGTGCATCGTCTCATCGAGTTTTTTTGCAAGTGCTTTAAAACGAGCCTTCATCCCGCGAGTAACGGTTTGGATCACATTTTCACTTACATTTTAGTTTGGTTCTTGTATGTGGTCAAGTTTACTATAATTCAGTCGATATAATATTTTTGCCAACATTTGTTTGTTCGGTGAGGGTCCCTCTCCCTTTGTTAGGATCAGATAACTCCGCTTCACGAGCATTGAAAATACGTGTCGATTAAATATTAGCAAGGCTGTTTTTGTTTTACTGGGGACATGTAAGTAGAACTAATGTCTTGTTACATGCAACGACGTGAAATGTCTGTACCGGCATCGAATTTCAAGGACGAGATTTGTCTTCTAAGAAGTTCGGGCGGCACTTTGATGGTACGATGTTGGAATTATGGGAACCCCCTTGCTGAAGTTTTAAGCTATTCAGGTGTAAAAACAAATAGGGATTTTCCCAGTTCATGACATACAAATGAGTACCATTTAGAAAATCGATGCATGAATGCTATCAATGCCAGAATGCATGCAGAAGTTGAGATCCTGTTTCAACAGGCGGTGCTCTAGAGCACCATTGCCTAAGTATTCTGACTACTGTAATCATTATGGGTTGCCTCAGAGACGCTGTCAGCGTTTCGCATTATCCAAGTTTTGTTCCTTGGATATGGGGATCCATAGATTTCCTCGCAATCTCGTTTATTAAATTAGCGGGAATAGTTCATTTTTTTGCTGTGATTTGAAGTAGCAGTCGTACCACGAAAGTGAACAACTATGCGACAAAATTAGGAAGTTGTTGATCTTGACAGTCCCTGATAGGAACCGAAAATTCGGTTTCCTTGTTAGTGGGCAGAAAAATTTCATCCACTTTTATCTCTACAATTTATTTCCATGCAGGGTAAAAGAATGACTAGATCGCTGTCAATCTGGATGTTGTGTATCTTTTAATTAATTGACAATTAAACGAAGTGTGTCTCGGATAATGCACTAGTTAATGCCAGAATTGTAGGTGTGTCATTAAAGTCCGGGGGAGTAACACCCTTGTCTTTCCAGTAAAACTTCGATAAAAAGCCCTTTCTGATTCCATGGACAGTTATACATTAAAAAGGCTGATGCAGTTGGCGATTCCGGATGCATGCTAAACAACTTTTGCTACCGAAGGAATGGATGAAAAGCCTAAATCTAAGTTACTTTGTGCGCCCAACAAGTTACCATCGATGGTGGAGAGTTCAAGAAAGAAGCGAGTGTTGAAATGCGTGTGCCACTTGTCGAGACGCTTTAGCTTCCTGTAATCCACCATGTAGATTACGACAATGCAGAAGAAGTTGGAAGAATACGTTAGCTCGAACATTTTGCAATGATTATAGCATTTTTCAATCCGTCACAATCCAATCGAACTAACCAATGGGCACGAAAAGATTAATTTGCTATTTCGAGACTAAAAGAGCATTGAAGCATTAGAATTCTTTCATTACACAGAAGTACCGTAGTTCTAAATAAATGCGAATGCCTTATGGTGATTAATGTTTAGTCGTCATTTCCATTTGTCAATAGTAATAAGGTTATTTAGTACTAAGACTGATAACTCATTTAGGAATAAGCTGGATTCAAGAGCACCCTTACACACCATTTAGCATTTTATGTTCCAGAACATATTATTTTAACCCACCATGAATGTCACCAAGGGTTGACTTAAATGTTTTGTATTCCATCTTCATTCGCATGATGTCTTGATTCTACCCGCCCTGTAGACGTGGTTACGAAACGGTTATCTGAGCTTATTACAAGCATCCCTGACCTAAACGGGTCAACTCGCCTAATATGTAAAAAGTTAACCGCGATTTCTTTAAAAATGTATGTCATTGCAATTGACCAAATGAATTCCGCTTTCCAAGGGGTTTTAATTTTGGAAAAAGCTCACTTTTCTCATAACAGATAGAAGGATCTGACCCACAAAGTCATCATGATCGGGAGGAGCCTTAACTTGAGCACTGATTTCCATCGGTGAAACGCTTGAGGAGAAATATTCTTTCTACCGGCGGGCGATTGAAAAAAGGAGGGCGGGGGAAATGATAGAGGGGAGTGGAGATGGTGACTGCTACTATAGGACAGCGCACGACCACACACACTAATACAGAGTGAACACAGCCCTCCACCTCGTCGTTCACTTGAGTGTGTCTTAGGTCTTTTCCGTGCGTGAAGTATGCCTAAATTGCTGCCCCTGCAGGCTGTCTACTTTTGTCTTCTCGACATCACTAACCCCACTAATTTTTTCCTAGTCTTTCGAAAGTTTAACCATGTTTACTCCAATTCTTTAAATTATTCCAGTTGTTTCGATTTCGGGAATGAGTATTTTAAAGAGCATTTTATTATACTCTTTTTCATTTTAAAATTAAACAGTCTTGTACCTCAGTGGTCCACTTAAGTTGATGCCCATCCGTTGCCGAGGCAAAGTATTCAGGCAGAAGCGATCACGAAGCAAGCATAATGACAACCCAACGACTGTAATAACCTAAAATCCATAGTTTCAGGTACATTGTCCATACCATCTTCCTGAAGTGACACTGATCTATGAAGTAACAAGCCAAATACAACATAAGCATGATTCTATGCTAATAAGCTATTCGCCTATGAAGACTCAGGGACATATGGGTTAAAGTTTTGTGCCGCCTTAAGAATACTTTGTTATTCGAGAGGTTCACAATAACTTGATCTTTGAAATTCCCAGTGTAAAGGTGAGTGAAACCCTTTGGTTTATTTCTCGCATGCACCAACCTACGCATTTTGGAGGCGTAACGGACTGCAAGAAGTGATTGGCAGAGTCACCACTGAGTGTATTCTCAAACGAAGCTTGATGCAGGGCGTGGTTATAGAGATACTGATTCCACCTGCTCTTAGAAGACCTCCACAGAATGAATCATGCCACAGCTCATGCACCCCCAAACTGTCTACGGCATAGGAAGCATTTGAAGCTATGTTGACACACTTACTCATCCATGATCATGGATAAGCGAGTTTGAAATTTTATGATAGGGTTGCACAGAGCGGTTTTAGAGCCTGATCTTGCTAGACCACTTACGAAGAGCTCTGTTTACCATGAATTGATTAAAGAAGAGAAAAGTTAATTTGCGAGACGTTAAAAGTGTGTTGTCTGACTCGAACGATTTACTGGAGAAGAAAAGGGAACTCATTTACCGGGAGTAAAAAGAAAATTAACTACCGCCTTGGGATGCAGCACAACCACCCAAAACAAGTTTCAACAACTTGTCTCTGATCTGGACTAGCTAAAAATGTTTCCGTCTTTGATGCACTTTCAATGTGTTATCGCTTGATATTTCAATCTGTTTCCTTATCCTAGAACAGAATTTGGTGTACCGCCTTACTTTGTGCCTGGTAAAGAGGTCGTACTACTGGGTGGCTTAAAGGTGGAGGCTCAAGTCACCACCTCCGGAACAAGCTCAAAAAATATGTAAAGTGTGAGATATGCCATTCATTTGAGATTTGCCAATGGCTAGTTATTTTGAAAGCACCACTGTGGTTTAGGCAAACTGCTCACGAGTTCGTTGTTTGCTGGTCGATCCAGGCCACGCAATGGGATTTTAATTTCAAAGCAGCATTTCCATCTAGCATCCTTAATTTGTTCTTAATTCTGGTGCATCAAGCCCCGGAATGCATTTTTTGTCACGTCACATCAGAATGTTCTTTCATCATGAATTCGCAGTGCATGTAATATTTTCCAAATGTAATTAACTTGAAAAAGCACGTTGATGGTCTTCATCAATTCTAGCAATAGGAGTGTGTCACTGGGGTTGATGTAAAGAGGCCAATCGTTAGAGAAGGCCTTGTGAAGGAGCAAACGCCATGTGACCTACCGTGTGCGGTCCTCGCATCAGTCTTGTGTGGGGCGCTCTGGGCAGTCATGGAATTTACCCGTTTCACAGGAGCATTGGGTGTCATTCTGCGGTGCCGTGGTGAATTGCAGCTGTGGTGGAGTGTTGGTGGTTGTGTGATCTTACGTGTGCATGCAGGGTTCGGATTTTCTAGTCTATTTTTTCCAATAATCCATCATCATGTTCTGTGCCGATGATGCGGCTACGTCAGTCAGCCTTTATTACCTTCACCGTGTGACTGGCAGTTATAATTCAAGGGATGCGATGTGCAAAGAATAATTCAAAAATTATTGCTGAAATCACTCTCAATAATCATTGCGTCATCTACCAGCAAAATCTGTAGCCGCGACCAAATTAAATATGCGCAGCTACAACTCCACCAACAGATCACTTTTTGGAAATACTTTCCGAGTACCTGGAATGCTAATTACTTTGACTGCATATACGCATTTGTTTGTAGATTTAAAAAGTTGTATGATTTCTTTCTAAAATGAACTGATGAATTGGCTTTGCTGAAGGTGTTTCAACTCTCAGTGCTTGCTAATGAACTTGCCGTGCATTACGATGCACATATATACCTGCGTGTTTAATAGGAAACACTACACCAGGCACAATGTATCCTTTTCTGCTTACCCTCCGATTTGAAATGGGAGCGCAGTGTTCAGGAGTCCGTTTAATCTAAGTGATCCTTCTCTTTGTTAATAAAAAAAGCCTGTTCTTCCATCTCGAGAAAAAGGATGTCCCCACGGCGGGCAGCAAGGGTCTGCGGCGCAACACTTGTGAGCGCACGAGTCATTGAATGAGGCGCAGATACCGCAACATTTGTTCTCACCATCGCAAGTTGCATCGTTGATTGCCTGGTGACAAAATGGCATGACTTATGGTTCTCGTTAATGTATTTGTCGAGAACTCACGGTTTTGTCAACTCTAAGATGCACCAAGTTCCCTTCTCGATAGCTTTTCATTGACTTAGTCACTGTTCTGAATATCCACTTATTCGATAGACACTGACGAGAGTTAGTAACTGCGACCGTAATTTAATTATGCTTTACTAGTCTTGGTTAACTATAATCGGGAGTTCTTCTTCAAATAAAATATTTGCAGAGTCAAAATTTTAGGCTATATTATGCAGGCTAAGCGCACTTTAATCCCACTTGCCAAATTCTCACTAATATCCCCTTTCCCGAACAAATTCCAACTTCTTTTGAAGGGAACTAATCTCATTAAATGTCTATTTATTTACCAGCAAGCATAAAAGAATAAAAAGGTGGCTGCAACTCAGGCGAGTGCTCTTAAATATGAGTGGGGGAATTGGTTTGATTGCAATTATGTATCTGGGTAGCATATTTACTGATGCTGATGGAAATGCCGAGTTGTTTCTCCGATTTGACCCGATAAAATAGCTTATTACCGTGTCCTTACATAAATGCACGAATTCACACCCGTTTCCAGGTGACACCATATAAGCTAGAACTCAATGGCCAAAATCGAATGGAGTTATCTAAAAAAAGGCTTTACACAAGGGCAAGAGCTAACTGTACCCCAAAAAAAAATCAAAAGAATAGTTGGATCGAGGTGTGTGATGAGTAATGAAATGTGGCTCGTCTTTTGCTTTTCACAGTGTACATTTCACCTTCACTCATCTCACGCTTCGCACATCTTGAATAGTGGCATATCAACACACCGGAAATTCTGGTTTTTCACATCACTTTGGATTTTAATTGGACCTTATTTAGTTAATAACAGTAACGAACCTACTTTTACTCTATTATTTCTGAGTAAAGAACAGTTTCAAATAGCTTAGCAGATCTTTAAAATGTGCCGTTCACTGCTGGTACACACATTTTTAATCCCTCAGCACTTCAGCGTTCTTTGCCTGTTAGTAGGTTATGCGTTAGTGTGTGGTGATTATTTCAAAAAGCTGTACTGATTGTTTTCAGGAAGGTGTGTGCTCAAAGAAATTGTCGCCAAAGTATAGTCCTAATCTGATTCGAAAATTCCCTTCTCCGTTTCACACTTATCGAAAATAAGAGGTTACAATAAGCTAAAAAATACTTCCTTCCTACTATTCACTATTATCTGGTCATAAAGATCTAATTGATAATCGAAGTGAACTACTTTAATTATTGTCATCGGCAGAAGCAATACAGGCCCGCAAACAGGCCCCTTGGCGATTGGTTACCACGATCGATTACAGTTTCGGTTTTTTCTAATGAACTTAATAAACATTTTTTACTTTGAAAAAGTGGTTAAAGGAAAATGAACAAAAGTGTGCAAATGGAACGAAATAGCGAAAGAGAAGTATAGCACAACTAAAGGTGTCCAAGGATAATGGTATTCGACCCATGAATAAGACAATCGATCAAGATAAGCACTTGGAACAAATAAAATAGTACAATCCGTCGAGAAGCCATTAATAGCAGTCTCTTCTCTTGCTCACTTACCAGATCGTACAAATCTTCTTAGCTAAAGTAGAGTTTACTCCACTTTGGGAGATCGTATCATCTTTATATTCTACTACACCATAAGAGGTTGAAGATAGGAGTATGTCCAGCATATCCTAAGTTAAATGGCCTTACTTCAGAAAAAGCTAGTCGAAAAAGTTCTGGAAAACGTGGATTGCTATTGGGGTGAAAAATTACGATGGATAGCAGGAAGTAGCGCAATCAAACCGTCAAACAGAGGTTGTCATGAGTCTAAGGTTCTCAGACCTAGATCCGATGTGCAACCTTGATGACCTGTAAGGTGAACTTGGAGAATGATGAAATGCTACTTGTCGGCAGTAAGAAGGACCATCAGGTTGTCACAGCACACCGTTCGTTTACGCGCAACCAAGACCTCCATGCAGCACATCTCCATTGTTCTTCAACTGGAGCTTCTTGCTATGCACACTCCCCACCACTCCAATCACCACAGCACAATCAGGCGTCCCATTACAAAACAGACACGTGGTGGGGATCGTACTAGCAAGTTAATTGAGCTTGAACCACTGTCCTTTTTTGAAGTAGCTTTTGATGACTATCAGCAAGGAGGAGGGAAGGTGCAGCGAGCTGGGTGTTTGTCATTCTCAAGGTCGGTGAAGTGCCTGCATTATTTCAACGCCTCGAAAATCTGAGAACCGAGTGTTGTATTTCATGCACTAAAGTGCACTTCATCGGTTGTTCGGAGCGCCTTCTTAATTCTTGCCGATTCCCTGTGAGTGTTAGAGGTAATAAAGTGTGTATCCAATGCATGCGCAAAAATCCCCGCACTCTCAACCGTTTTGAACTGTTTCGAGTTCCTTCTTCAAGGTCAACTTGGTAGGTGGCAAGACCCAAGCGATGGGTCTGATAGGCAAAATTGGGCTGATTTGAGTTGTCTCTGCAATGCTGACACAAGTGCTACTTTCGAATATGCATTTTTTAAGTGGTAGTCGATTATTTTGTACTGTTGGAAATACTTCCGTCCCCATTCCATTGGGTTGTAGCCTAAAAGAAAGTGCAGCATTTTAGGTGCAAGACTAACGCACAGCAGCTTGGTGCTGGAGCCAGCCAGTCCGGTTTTGAGAGGGAAAATCACAATTTTCGATTGTAGAAAGGTTTTCTTTCTCCCCTATATTGGCATTTTGCACTCATGACAAACAGGTATACATTGACCTGGGTTTATTACTTACTATTAAACTGCTCTTCCTCAAAACCTGTTAAAGGTGCAATTATTTTGGGACATTAACATTCTTCCTGGCTTGTGGTAATAGGAACGTTGTCGGATGGTCTCAGGAGGTAATGCAACCGAAAGAGCAAAATGTGTTTGATCCCTTGTGCGCCGTCCTTGGGCCGATCACCCTTAAAATACGCTATGACCTCATCGATGGACTCAAACCTTTTCGCGAAAATATCGCGTCAGTAGTGTGCGGGCAAGTAAATATGTTTAGATGATGGCAGACATGAGATTTTAAAAATTTCCAAGGCGCTCTGACTTTATTTCATGCCTGCAAAAAGTCACTCTTATTTTCCTATTTGGACAGTGTGATCTCTTTACCCAGTCAGAGATAAGCTCTGTGCTACAGCATAACATTTCCTAATTTTACCGAAGTTGCACAAAACACAAGGCAGACATTTTAGCCCGCCCCATTAGGTCCCTTGCTCTCGTGATGCCATCCGTGTCTTCCGCCTCCTAACCCTTCCATATTAGCATATTACAGTTATTTACAGGCTCCTAATCTCGTATCTCGAGTCGTGCAGCGCCAAGTAAACTACCACCACAATTTAGGTACCAAGGATGACTGTGATATCGAGTGATTTGTGGTGAAGCTACTATCGCTAATTTTTAGGGTAGGATCTGGTGATTTCCTGAGGGAATACGAGAATGCCTTGTAAAATGAAGAAATTATTTTTGAGGATTCACATACTCCCACTCGTCCGCCTCTAGGCTTTTTCATGATTTATAGGTGTGGAAATAGTAAAAGTGCTTTGTAGTTAATGTATGTAAACAAATCTTTGATTCACAATCTTACACTTTGACACTTTATATATCCTCGTACAAAAATAGTTCAGTGTTTTCCTGTGGGATTAGTTTAAATCTTAAAGCAGAAGAAATTATTCGGTGTAAGCTCTTTTGAGTTTTAGTTGAAATTATGAAAATTCCTTTAATGATCACTGATGCGTATGCATTTAAGTTGGTTATAGTTCACCACTTTGGAAGTTTGACCCGTAACTGACGAACACTTTCAACGACTACCTAATCGCCACCTAGGCAATATTTACACTATCAACTCATTCTTCTTAGAATCATGGAGGTCAGAAACTTCCACTGCTTTAGCTGTGTACTCCCTTCTGCATCTAGCATTAACAAACAAATCATAGCTCAAGCATGGGCTTTGGTACTTCAAGAAGCAGAGCGTGTGCTGGCAGTGTCTCCTTTCACCTTACCATTGCATTATTATCATTTTCCATCAGCGATGAATGCAAGATCTTCGAAACCTGACATAATTTGAGATCTCTTTTTGGGTAATTTGCTACACAGTCTTACAACACCAACTCAAGACACCCCTTATGTGTAAAAAAATTTCCAATTTAAATAAAAATTAGTCCTCAAGTGTGCGTAAGAAGCAGGAATCTTGCCTTCAAACCTATTTGGAAGATTTTGCGAGTTTATACCGTAGTCATAGATTTGCCAAATAGAAGTTGTTAAGGCAAAGTAAATGTATTGAAACTCTAACCAGGGATAAGGTGTATCCTATTCATTTTTTACCCCAAGTAGCAGACTTGGTAGACAACTTATTGTAAAAATATCATGAAGTATTCGATCACACAAAAGCTTGACATTCTCTCCCATTGATGACATTGACTACCAATCATTCCCGTTAAATTCACAATTCTTGCTTCTCCTCTGCTAACTAAAATTGACACCACGTGGAGCTTTCAGAGTTATTGAAACCAGAAAAGTCAAACGCTTCTTTCTGTGAAACGCTTTGCTCAAACAACTAGAAAATCTTAAGCATCTTCTGGTCGACAGCCTCGACAGCGGAACAGCTTTTTCGCTTTTCCTAATTTAAGTTGATCTTACGAGACTTTTATTTGAACCAGCTCAGCAGGCACTCAAGCAATTTGCTGTGCTGAAGATTGCTCAACATGATGTTACACATCCTATGCCCAAATGGACTTTTAAGGTTCTTCGATAGGATAGTCAACATTGTTTCTAATTCACAAGACAGCGACTCGTCATTTGGAGTAGATGGTCTACGGTGGTGTAATAAACCTTCAACACAACGCCACTAAGCTTTGTTCGTCAATTGAAAGCTGTTGATTTTGAGGCGTTTTCTCGAATATTAGCATTAACTAGTTTTTGTGACTCAACATAATCAGAGGATGAAGAGGAACTTGAAACCCATGCTATCACACCAGCGTGGAGTTTTATTTTCTTTTAGCAGATTTTATTTTCCTTGCCATGACTTTTTATGTCCTCATAATTTGGCATGTTAAAGAAATATCGCCATACTACCAGGAAGCAAAATTCTGTCTTTGTTCACTTAAAAGCCAAATTTTTTAGTTTACCCTGGCAACAATCTGGACTTTTCTACTATTATATACCAATCATTACCGAGAAGAAGTAATCAGCCATAGAACTGAGGATTTTTCAAAGCAGGATCGGATACTTGGGATTGAACCTTCCCAGGACATTTTGCTCGACCTAATTTCTGTGGGTCTGTTAGCAATGTCAAACTAAGTTTCGCCACCTTATTTTTTGCAAACTTGGTCCAAAGGTTTTCCAATGATCTTCTGCACCACATCCCTGCAAATGGCATGCTAGCAAAACAACCAGCTCAAGGCTAAGACGGCTTTGAGAACCACTGACCGTTTTAACTAATCTGCTTGCTATTCAGGAACTTTCAACTGAGTCTAATATTTCTCACATTGAGTCACAATGGAGTATTCCAGTACTTATACGACTGAGATCAAAGTTTTCTTCGTTCAATTCTAATTGGTGACATGTAGACCAGCTTTTAACTATGTAAGGGCAACTCTGGTGAAAGCTTCTGGTTGAATGCCAAAAATTCTCGAGTCACAAAAAAGACGATCTAAGTAAAAATGCTTGTAATTCAGATGAAGAAATTACTGCAACTCTCTGAGTCTGCGCCGATACCACAATAAAGCACACCACTATAGAGAAATAATTTATTGTTAGTGTACAAGACAGTTGTTTGGCCGTGGGCAGGGATCTTAGAGAGTGAAGACCCTACGTGGTTAAATGCACATTAAAACAAATATCAGCTCGATACCCTTTTGGTAAGGCAATGGGAAACCTGGATTTTCTTGTTTTTGGAGAGGGAATGGTGACGAGAGATTATGGTCACGCGGTTAGTAGGATTAGCTACTAACCTAAGAGATGTATTTAAACTGCATCTACTGACTCATTATTGCTCCATCAAATCCGTTTTCTGCGTTTTGAACTTATGAAGGTGCGAAATAAAGTGTTAACTTTCCAGTTTTCATCACACACTGGTGAATGTTTACTATAGTAGCTTGAGATTAGCTAACGTAATCGCTTAAACTTTCAACGATTTATTAGTATTCCCTGTAACACCTAAAGGCGAGGAGAGCTTTGACGTAAGATTGTACTAATTTACTTTTACTGTATTTTGGTTAAATAATTAGAATCAATTAACCTGAAGTTCATATTTCCGGATACTTAAATCTTGCTTCACTGATGGACGTTTTGCAAGTAGTGATGGATCCTTTTCTATTATCAGTGATACTGAATTTTTCAACCCGGAGGTACAAAAAAATCAATGTAAATTAGGGGTGTGGAGGTTCCAGTTGCCCCTTTTCTCAGAAAACAAAAGATTCGCATTTGCAAAAAACGTTAACGATGGCAGAAAAATCTTGAGAATTTCGCTAAAGTTTGCGACGTAAGCGCCTGCCAACGCGCATTCCTTTCACGAGCGAACCTGTGGGAATGCATATTCCAGATGCAAACGTTTCCATTTGTGCAACTCACCACGACGGTGTACCTTAGCATTGGCAGGTTAATCCGTGGGGCTTCTAAAGAGGTGCTTTTCACTTGAGTAGCCTCCTTATGCTTGAACTAGCTTTCTACTCCCCCCTTATGCAGATTTCTTTTAATACGATGGAAGTTTAGTAATATCGTGTGCTGCCCATACATTCCAATAAGGTGCCGTTACATCTCATTTTTCTGCATCATATGGTCCAAGGAAGAAAACTGGGTGGTGATGGCAGTGTTCAGCTAAACACATATAAGAAAGTGGAATTGAAGTAGTGTTGAAATAAACTGCTGAACTAGACATCCTAACTTTCCGCTTTTATGTCCAAAATCTGCGCCGATGTTTATGGTATTGTATATAACTCAAATCCCCACGTATTGCAGGGTTGCTTCACATTTGAGTCAAGATCATTCACAAAATTTTGAGATATCAAAAGGGTGGCCGCTGCAATTAAAACCACTGCTAATTTCTGTGCGACTAACTGTTAAACAACAAAAACGTCGCCACAAATAGGTTAGTAGTTGCCAGTTAATAAGAGAATAGACGAATTTCAAGCTGCTTCTTCATTTTGAGTGCCTACCAATGATTCCACTGAATGGCATAGCTCTACAAAACAGTGCACATTAGAATGGTATGAGTTTCATTTTGGCATGCAATTTCCATCTACAAAATGTGCGTTTTGCTTGAACTATTTCCAACAAAATACACACTTGTCAAGTAATCAAAAGATACCTTGATTGAGCTGTCGGCAGACATCAGAGCCAACACCCTTTTTCTAAGGGTACCCTTTCTCACGGGATGATTTCGACGCCCTTATTGGATTTGCTTCGACTACCGACTCACGATCATGCAAAAGAATGGTTTGATTAATTTATCAAATACGAACATTTTAAACTCATACGGCTCAAAAATCACTAAAGGCTTTAAAAATTTCCGACTCGGTTGGAGCTAAAATGAGAAACAAGCATGCTTTTCAATATTTGTTCCCTCATTCGGGGGTTCGCTAGTGGAATCGATGTGTGCAAATGGTCTTAGCACGTAACCCCTACTGTGTAAGTAAAATGTTTGTTATTTTCAAAAAGCCATGGTCTTTCCAAAACATTCCTGCTATTTTCCGCGCTTGCCAGCTACTTTTATTCATCCACTTTACCCACAGATGTCGATTAAGGTGTCGTCGCAGCCTTGAATGCACACAAGAAAACGGTGATCATCCAGACCCGACTGATTTTTAAAATACGCATAGGATTAAATGAGGAAAATTGCGATGAAAATCAAAAACCCTAAAAGTCAGGATAGTTTCAGTTCCATCTAAGACGAAAACTTTGACAACAGTGCAGAATACCCGGATCCCAACGTAACATCGATGCGATCTACTAAGTAAAATAGGCCAGGCATTCATACCTGCCCAAATTTAGGCGTGAGGTATATCTTTGCAGTCACCACAAAGTCACACATATAACTGCTCATCAGGGACATTATCCTAAAGCCGAAATTCGGCTTGCATTGGGGTATTCAGAAGGAAGAAAGTCGAATGAGTGCCATTCTGTGGTGATCATCGCAGGCAGTCATTTTCGTCAAGAGATGCTCGACCATGAAACCATTCACATATAGAAGTATAAATTATACTGAAATTACGTCGGAAGCCCATGAAATTTATGAGGCGCTTAGAAAAGCTAATCCGAAAATTTCGTGAAGCTAACAAAATCAAGACTCCGAATTTGCGACAAATTCGGTCGACAGAAAACTCAATTCAGTTAGTAGCTCAACAACAAAGTTGTACAAATTAAAACCTTTAATTTTACTGTAATTGTAGTCCGCTAAACTCAGAGTCTGTTAAGCCAAATTCGCAGTGGAGGACGCATTGAAAATACTTGGAATACGGGATAATTTTGTGTTGCAAATAAATATTCAGGGAAAGCATGAGTAATTCGGACGTTAGACTTTGACAGAGGGCTGCGTTTTGACACTATAAGAAAAGGTATTAACAATGACAAAATCTGACTTACACTAAGTAGAAAGCAAGTTAATTCTTATTATAAGTGCAGCAAACCATTTACCACAACCCAATGGAG